AAAATGACATTGTAAACAGTGTTTTATCTATAATAACAGAAGGATCTAGTAATTCTTGATACTTATAAACAGGCCGCAATGTGTCCAAAATTTGTCTATACCTATTCGAGCAGTGTCTGTAATATGTCCATAGCCATTTAGACAGGTTTATACAAAAGTGATAGGGTATACACTATACAATATATTTGAGAAATGTTAAAGGCGTGTGTGTGTGTATGGAAACCACCCAGGACCAAGGGTGGCTCCACCCATGCATGGCATGTTGTATTGGTGTTGTGAGCTATATTAATAGTTGCTTGGTTATATCACAGTATAATCTTTTAGGTTCCTTGCTGACAAAACCAACTTCCTTCAGCAAGGTCCTTATCCAGATTAACTCACTAACCCATGTGCCATTGGCTTGTGCACTTGAATTGGTGGATTTATATTTCTTTTGCTATCACTTTATGGTTTGGTGATTGGCATTGTTTCTTTCTTTTTGGGACTCCATAAATTTTGGTTAATTTTTGCTTTAATTGAAATTTATCAGGCTCACGTTATCTTCGTCGTATTCATCCATACCTGTTTGCAACATTTATGGTGACTCAGGCAGTTTCTCAGCTGAATTTCCAATCTAGTGCAGGTTATTTGTTCGAGAAAGTTAGCGAGATATATAAAAACTGTCAGGTACATTACTGTACCTATGTTTCTAGTTATGAAGTTGAAGCATGTTCCCCCTTTCCTCGTCCATGTGACTTTCTTATAACAGCAAGTCTGTCTTTGATTTTATGGAAGCATTTCTTTTGTAGCCAATAAGGTACTCTACTGGTGGAGCCTAGATTTAGAATGATAAATTGTTTATGTTTCCAAACGTCAGTGTCAGTTCAAAAGGGTTGCAGTTTCTGAGTTCTTGTAGACCCGATCATCAACCTCCATTAATTCTGCGGATGACTGGGGAAATGGTTGATCATGAGGAACAGAAAAACAGACCAAGTGAAGTCAGCGAGTTCAATGGTTTGGCTCCTCTGCAATATGAGGGATTGTCACAGGTAGTTATATTTAGTGTGCCAAAGAAAAATGTAAAGTGCATTGTCAAGTGCCATTTTTCTTTCTTTTATGTGTTTGGTATCTTTGTGATTTTATGTCTGTCGAGGGAGAACCTTGTCAAGTGAAAGCATTTTTACATTTTGGCATCCTATATATTTTTTCATTTCACACACCCTCAAACTTTCCCTTTTCTTTCTCTTTTTTCTTTTGTTTTTGTTGGAAGTTAACATTTCGAAATTAAAATGAAGGAGCCTTATAATTGCTTGGTGATACATTGTGCCAACTTTGATGATTATACTTGTTTCACATGCTTGCCATGCATTTCTTCTGTGCATTTATCGACTAATTCCAACTTCAGGCTGAGGCAGAACTCTATAAAATGCTGTTAGAAAAGAGAATGAAGTTTGCAAGAGCTGCTGGAACCGCTCCGTAAGTTTTTGTTCTTTTGTCAACATTTCCGACATATTCTTTCTTCTGTCTGCTAAATGCTTTTAACATTGCAGATATGCTATATGTGGTGATCAAACATTGAAAAAGATAGCATTGGCAAGGCCATCTACTAAAGCAAGGCTAGCAAACATCGATGGTGTGAACCAGGTATACCATTTTGACCGAGGTGTCCCTCCAATTTTGTTTTTTGTACCTTTATTGGGGTCACCTTGTATGTTTGGTAGTTTAAACTCTCCTTTTTTTCCTACCCATTTGAATTTAAGTATTTAAGTAGTTCAATAATGTTGCTATGTTACTCACACAGAAAGTCATTGGCTATACTTGCTATGCCAGGGTGCTAAATAAATTACATGCACCATGCTGCCATGCACTCAAACTGCCCGTTTTACTACTTTCAAAGGCAATTGATCGTTTTCTGATTACTTCTTTTCTCTACCTGATAAAATCAAAGAAAGAGAATTAATGTTTCTCCATTCAATCACTGGGGGCTTGGCACCATTTGATTTTTAACCTGAATTCAGCTGCAGAGATGTGATCTATTAACATATATTATGCTAAATCATCTATTACATTTGCATTTACGAAGTATATGCAAATTTACCTTTTTTATACAGGGTGAAGATTGAAGTAAATAATTTAGAAAACATTTTATGGAGAATAGTCCCAGAAACACTTGTTCACCATGAATAGTCCGATCATTACTCTTGTTTATTGCACTGGTTCATTGTTTGGTTTCAGGGTTTTCTCAAGTTCTGGATTAGGAAAATTTCCAAGTAAGCTTTTATGTTTGTGTATTTTTCGTGTTTCAATATCTAAAAACTGAAATTCCATGGTGTTGCAGCACCTAATGACAATGTACGGGGATCTTTTTCTTCAAAGTATTCAACATCTATCTCGGGGGCTGAACCTTTCTTTGGACGGGGAGACAAGCATACAGCCCGCTATCACAAAAAGGATTTATACAGTACCAAACCACCAGACAAAATTAACTCCGGCAAAATTTGAAGCTTGGAAAATGTGGCAAGAGGATGGCCTCTCAATTCAGAAGATTGCTGTGAGTCCTATTTAGTGGCTACTGCTGCTTTATCTGCTTAAAACACATTTCTTAACTGCATGTGTATTTCCTATTCATAGTAAGCTTTATATTTGTGTCTTGTAGAGCTTCCCCAGTAGATCAGTTCCCATAAAAGAAGAAACTGTAATCAACTATCTCCTCGAAGCTGCCCGAGAGGGATGTGTAATTGATTGGACCAGGTTCTGTGAGGGGATCGGCCTCACCCAAGATGTGGTCAACAGTATTCAGACTGCTGTATCAAAACTTGGTTCAAAAGACAAGTTGAAGCCTATCAAAAATGAATTGCCAGAAGAGGTTAGCTATATGAATTACGCTAGGTATCTCCAACTATACGTGAGCCTATGGTTATGGTAGGTCTTACATGCCATAAGTCTCATGTTTTAGATCACGGAGACTAAGATTCCAGTGCCCTTTGTTCACAAGAATGCTGAAAACTTTACTTAATAATACCAGATAAGTTATGTCCATATCAAGGCATATTTGACAATGGATGATTTGGGGCTGTCAGCAGAAGGAGTTCAATCCTGCCACCAGCCTAGCTGTAAAGCTAATGAAAATTCTGAAGAGATGTCAGAACTATCACAAACATCCTATTTGCCATCTCACGTCAGACCTTGTGACGTTGAAAGACTAGTAAATACTGCAGCCTGTCATTATTCTTCAGATGATGGTGAAGGAGCAGTCCCAGTTCCCCTTGTGTTGTTCACAAGCTCAAAGCAAGCCCCAATCTTTACTGATGATCTTCATGATGGAAAACGCCAAAAAGTTGATGCAACAGGAGAAGAGAATCCTGTTGCACCGGAGGCAACAGAGAGTTCCATATTAAACTGGATTAAGAAATTTGATCATGGGGTGAGTAGTTGACCATGCAATATCAAACAAAAGCACAATGGGTTTTGTTTTCTTTTCTGTTCCCTATGAAGTAGAAAAGTTAAAATGGATGATGCTAATGTAAATTATATGCAGGTCTCTCAATCTGATATTTTCAAGCACTTCAAAGGATCCACCAAAGAGTCTATAGTTGATCTGCTGAGCTGCCTTGAAAGTGAGTTTTTGATATTTAAAAAAAATAACTTGTATATGCTTATGTGATTTAGTGCTGCAAAGTTTGCAGACTGGGTTTTTTGTTTAGGAATCCTTTGCCATCTGATTGGTCTTCCCTATTTTATTGTGTGTGAATCAGCAGCGCCTCTAGACGTGTGGTTGGTTGAAAACTTGTGAATATAGAACAAATCTAAAACTGTTATGTCGCCTTATGACATGTTGGCATGAACTGGTTGAAGATTGTGGGTTTCACTCTGGGAGTTAGCATGATTTGAGCAGAAACCAATCCATCCGGTTGAATGTGTAGCCATATCAATGCCTTATCCTAGATGGTTGTACTATGTTATATCAAGTCCTGCCAATTCCCTCTATACTGAACAGGTCTTGCCAGTGGCAGTGTGCTCCATCCATGCTTTTGTTTTCTTTCTAGTAAGTAGTTAGGTCATCTTCCCAGACACTGCATACAGATTCTCACTCGTTCGACCTTGTTTCTATATTGTTCTTTGGTTGTAACATCAATGGATGATTCAAGGTAATGACTGATTAGAAGTTAAACCCAAAGATATCCAGGACCCCCCCTGCCCTCCTTACTTTTTTCTAACGAGGAACTTCTCCAAGTTAGCAAATTATAGGTATCAGTTAAATTCGAAAGAACGGGGTTGATTGCTTGAAGTCCGGATCTACGGTTCGTGCTCTTTCCTTCTGGTACACAAGTTGTAATAATCTGCTAACAAAAATTTTATCTTTTCAATATTATAAAAATTTCTCTTTAGTAATGCTTTTTAGTTTAAGTTATTTATAACTATTACTGGAAAATTAAATAAAATTGAACAAATAGATTACACCTGTTATTTTTTTTTTCCAAAAAAAAATATGCAAGACGGAAAAATAACGTTTCTTTGTGGCAATGTACCCTCTACTATCAATTCAAAACAACTAAATCTCTTCTTGTGCTTTATTTATTGAGAGAAAATATGTTTGGTTGTATTTTAAAAAATAGTATTTAAAAATTATTTTTAAGAAGAGTTTTAGAAAATTAAGGGTCTGTTTGGTTTAGTTTTTAAAAACAATTTTTGGTTTTCCAAACTCTAAAAACAAAGATGTTTGTTTAGGTTTTTTGTTCTCCAATTTTTTGAAAATTTTGGGAATTGAGATGTGATTTAAAAGAACAACATTTTGTTTTTTTTTGAAGTAAAATGAAAACGCGAAAAATAGACCATCTCCAAATTAATGAGGTCTTCACTTTGAGTCTTCTTAGTAACAAAAAACACTATCTAGTATAAAATATATTTTTTTGGCCTTTCTGTCTCTTAGACTCTCTCCACTTCGGCGACGAAATCAGATGCACACAACATCTTTGGCGAAATGGTTCTCTCTGGTGATTGAAGATCTTCTTCGTCGATCAAAGATCTTCTTCGTCAATTGAAGATTCTCTGATGACTGAGATCTTCAGATCAAGGACTTTTTTTTAGATTTGAGTATTTTTTTTAAATCTGGGTCTTCTTTGGTAAAAGGGTTTTTTGGCAAATGGGTTCATCATCTTCTCCATTGACTGAGAGCTCTTTGACGTGTACTAGAGGTTGTGTATGTTTGATCTTGGATGGATCTTGAATTTTGGGTTTTGGATTTGTGTTCGTCTTGTTCGTCGTGTACCATTTCAGTCGATGGCTACTTCGGTTACCAGTTCAGTCAATGGCCACCAATTCAATCGATGGCTACCAATTCAGTCGATGAGTTCGTTTATTTCGGTGAAGCTCTAATCATGCAGTTCAATCAATGACTAGAAATTTTATTTTATTTTTTTTGTATTTTATCAAGTTTATTATATTAATATTAAAATATTACAGGTCCTCAATTTGCATCTCTTGTCATGTGCATGTCCAAATAGGTTTTCTATTTTTTTGCTCTGCACAATTGTTTTTGAAAATATATAACCAAACAAGTTCTTTGTCACAAAAATCATCAAAACCAGTTTTCAGAATTTTTTCCTAAAAACAATAAACAATTTTTGGATACTATTTTCGAAGACGCAAACCAAATAAGAGATTGGGGTGGTGTTTGGTTTGTGTCTAAATACCAATTTTTTGTTTTTAAAACACAATTTTGTGAGATGCTGTTTGGTTAGCAATTTCCAAAAATAAATATTCAAAAAAAGTGAGAAATGAGATGTTCTTTGAGTTTTCAAATTAAAATAGAAAATAAGGGAAACAATCACTCTTTTAATGAGATCCACCCATCGAATTTTCTTAGCAACAACACATTTTTTTCGATGAAGTATAAAAGCCCTCCAGTCAACTCCATCTGCTCTCTCTGCAACAATCTCTGTCTCTTTGCAATGATCTTTGTCTCTTTGCAAGGATCTGTTTCTCTCTGTGCAACAATCTGAAATGCTCTCTCTCTCACTCTCACTCTGTGCAACGATCGTTGTGTTGCTTCAACAGAGCAACGATTGTTGTGCTGCTTCAATGATCGTTGTGTCTTTATTTTTATTTTTTGTGTTTTTTGTATCACAAAATTTGTTTAGTTATATGATTTTAAAAATAATTCTATGTAATAAAAAATTCTAAAACTTATTTAAACAGTAACGCAAAAAACAGTAAAAATAAAAATGTGGTAATGATGGTGTGGTGGATGTGGGTAGTGGATGTCATTGTGGTGTGATAGACGTCGTGGTGGTGTGATAGGCGGTGATGGTTGTGGTGGTGGTGGTGGAAGTATGATGGTGGTGTTTTCTAAATTCTGAAAAAGTTGTTATTGAAAATTAATAGAATAATTTTAACTTACTAGTCATTGTCCGTGCCTGAAGGCACTATGTTACTTATAAAATTTCAACACACAAAGATAGGATGTTTGAATAATTTCAACATATAGTGATTAGATTGGTTTTGAATATTTTTTGTTGGTGCAATTGATATCTTATTTTTTTTGTATTGGTCACTTATTTCTTTTTAATTACTGATTAACTTGGGTTTTGAATTTTTTTTAAATTTTTTGAGAACTATAGGTTTTCATACAGTAGTGATTTATTTTTGGTATGAATAATAACTTGATATTTTATTTATGAATTATAAAAACAATTTAAACTTCTTTGATTGATAAGAAGTAAGAAGTAAACATCAATCATCAATATTAAGATGTGTGATAAGAAGATCTACTTATAGTATAAATTAGAAATTAAACAAAATCAACATAAATCAAGATTCAAAAAATACACTTTTAACATATAATATTTAGATCATTTGATTTAAAATAAATTCAATTTGAGTTGTTATTGTGCTTTTTCAAATTTAAAATAGAGACATATGAGAGATAGGAGTGTAGAGTCTTACGATAAAAGACTTTTTCATGGGTGAGAAAAGAAATTTAGAATTAACTGTAGACCGTTAGATCAAAAATTTTGAGATGATCTGAACCGTCTTTTATGTTGGGATTATTTTGTCCGTTGGATGTGTTTATATTTTGTCTTAAAACAATTTGAATCTCTCTTTGTCTTTTGAATTCAAATTTCGTTCTACTTTATTATATAAATTCTTTAAATTTACTTAGTTTTTAAATCTCAGTTTTCAAAAAATAACTCATCAAATAATTTTTCTTTTAGAAATTGTTTTTGTCAAAAAATAATTTTTAAGATGCAAATTAAACATTACTTTAACCTTTCCATTCCATGTGCTCTCTTTTTAGTATTTCCTCTTTATGACTTTTTTTGTTATGACTTTTTTTTTCTTAAATTCATTGGTGTCACGAAGTCACTTGCATTAATTGTATTAAATTGAAAGGGTCTTCTTGGATTTTGAGATAACACCTAGGGACAAATGGAACAAACATTACTAAATGAAGTGAAGAGCTAATTACACTTCACCCTTTGACTTATTTTGAATTTTTTACTTTGTCCCCTCACAAATTAAAAACCTCACATTATATCTTAAATTTATCAAATAGTAACAATGTGCTCGAATAACTAGATGGCATTGTTATATCATTTTTCATCCATAAAACTATCATAATATCACTTTATCCCTCAACATTGTTTATTAATTTCACAATTTCGTAAGAAGTTAATTATTTCAGATCATGCACAACGTATGTTAGACTTCAATCAACGAAAATTTTGACATCATTGACTAATTGAGCCACATGTACAATACTTTAAAGGGTAAATTATATTCACATCTCCTAATATTTGGCTTTATTACACATACACCCCTCACATTTTAACAATTACACTAAAACCCTAATAGTTAGAAGAAGTTAACTATCTTAATAAAAGACTATTTTACCCTTCTGTTTAACACAAACTCAAACCCAAACCCCAAGCCTTATCCCTAACCCTAATCTTCGCCTCCTCTGCACCAGTAATCCTAGTGCATTCTCTCTCTCTCTCTCTCTCTCTCGACGAAGAATTAACCCAAAAATCGTCATTCTCTCTCTTTCTCCCTTAGCCCATCTTTGTGTGCGTGTGTGTGTATATATATACACACACATGCATGCATACATACATATACACACACATAGACAGAGAGAGAGGGAAACCCTTGCCTGGCAGCGAAAATTGCCAGCAGCTCCCCACCACTGCAGCACCCTCATCCAAATCGTCACCCCAACTCCATCGTAGAGAGAGAGAGAGATTTCTTTCAATATTTTAGATCTAAGTTCTTCATGGTCAAAATGGAGCAGAAAGAGTTTTCAAATTTTTGAGATTTAAGTTTTTTCGATTTTCAAATCTAAGTTCTTCACAACCAAAGGGGGCATTATATTGTCTATCAGCCACACACACAGACACAGAGAATCTCAAGCAGTGGGGGGAGGAGGGGAGGGGAAGGGTTTGTTTTTGGGTGTTGCAGAGAGGTTTGTTTTATGGGTTGTGGACTTGTGGTGCTTGGTGGATTTCACTAGAAGGTGGGTTGTGGCTGTGGAGATTGATGGTTTGGTGAGTTTGTGTTGTGGATTTGGGGGCAAATTAGGTGGGTTTCTATTGTGGATTTGGGGGCAAATTGGGTGGTTTTCTGTTGTGGATTTGGAGGTGGATTTCATTGGTGATGGAGGTGGCAATTGGTGGTGCATGGTGATGATGTTAATTCTGTAAAAATTAGAATTGAATTTGAGGGCCAAATTTTAATTAATGAATGAAATTAACTATAATTGAAAGAATTTTGGAGATAAATTACCTTAATTGATAGATTTGTTTGATTTAATTAATTTTTTTAAGACAAATTTGATTAAGAGATTTTTAATCTCAATGTTATAAGGGTAAAAAAGTCTTTTTAATGAAATAGTTGACGTCTATTATACAAAAAGGGTACGGTTGTCACAAGTGTTCAAATGTCAAAGGGTTTCAGTGTCATTTTTGAAATGTGAGGGGATGTCTGTATAATAAAGTCAAATGTTAAGGAGTGTGAGTTAATTTACCCTACTTTAAAACATGTTTAGAGTGCAAGATGAGAGACTTTTAAAACCGAAGGAGAAGAAGATAAAAATCTTTAGTTTTTCTCAGAGACAAAGAGCCACTTTCCCAAAACAAGAAGAAAAAAGAATCAAATGAATCATTTGGATAGGCTTAGGCTCCCCTCAAATTACCAACTAATTTTTTTTTTTGGTTTCAACGACAAGAAATGTCTGGATCAATTTATGTACATTTTGATTAATCTCATCTTCAATACGATTAAAGACAGGTCATCTACGTCAAAACTAGGGTATTCATGAAGACAGGATTGACCCAACAGTTTAAAAAATAAAGTCTGGCTTTAGGCACTAAATTTTTAGAATACCCCACAAATTTAGATAAATTACTAACCAACAAAAAACAATTTAACTCATTAAATTTTAAGCCCTAAAAAAGTCCCAAAAAATTAAGTCCAATCGAAATTTTTATTGTAATAATTTAGATCCATGATCTAATTCATAACATTAAAATCTTAAAAATTAGAAGTTAAAAAAATAAAAAAATGCTTAAAAGTCAATTTATATTTACCCCCACTTCCCCTTTTCTCTCTGTCTCTCTCTAGTTAAAAAAATTAAAAAATAAAAACAAAAGTTGAAATCAAATCTCTCTTTCTCTCCGATAAAAGACAAAAATAAAAGTTAAAACATCTACTAGCACATCTTTCTTCTATCTGTCTAACATAAAAAAATTAAAATAAAAAAATTCTCATTTAGTGTTTTCATTTTAGACTTCAAATTACCTTGAGCTATCCTTGCATGAAGGATAAATCTTTTATGACCTGACTTCGTAGGGTTGCCAAGATTTAAAGTCAGAACGTCTGAATTTATAGTTCGTCTCTGTTACCACTTAAGCTATCATAGTACTTTTTTGTATAAAATAAGTATACTTATGCAAATAAATTTATATCTTTAAAAAAGAATTCAAGACCGTCCAACTTCGAATATTAAGAAACTATTCATAACTTGTCTTTAAAAGTACGGTGTAATATAAAATTTAAGTATCTGAAAAATTGATGCCATTATATCAAATAACAATTTTTCTTTCTTTTTCTTTCTTTAATTACATAATTTGCTATTAATTTCTATTTGTTATTTAAAATAAATTCACAATTTTTTTTTAAAATACATGATCTAAAAAAAAATATCAACATACGTATACTATTATATCTGAAATAAAAATTGTATTAAGTCACAAATTAAATAAAAATTAAATAATTTAACTTATGATAAAAATGGTTGATCCGATTGAAATTGACAAAAAAAATTGTGGGGATGAAATTCAAAGTGCTAAGTCAACCCCCATTTAGATGGGCAACTATTAACTACTTTATTGATCGGAAAAGAAATAGAATGGGTCCAAGGTTTTGGGTAAACTGGACTAGTGAAAATTGGAATCAAATACATTTTTTCAATCTGTTTTGTCATAGGACAAACAAAAATCTTTTAGGGCATTAAGAAAATATAATTACAATATATGAGGTATATAGTCCATATTTACCAACTGTATAATTGTTCGTGTTTGAAGATATAGAGTAACAAAAAATGTCAATCATTCATATTTCCAGGTGAAAGTATGACTAAACTAACACGTATCTAATAATTACCCATATCTAAGGGCTAATGTAACAAAGAATTCACAATTTCAATAGTTGTGAGGAATGAAAAACTGTTGGTAAACAAAATGCAATAGAAAAAAAAACGTTTTTTCATTAAAAGTCAACAAACCACTAAAAAAGAGAAGTGAACAAACCATCCTCATCACATTTCTCCATAACATAAACTAAACAAACGATCCTTATTAACTATATCACAATTCCAAAAACCAGTTTAAAGATGCATTTGAGCATTTCATTAAAAAGAGCCTCACAACAAAGATCACAAAGACACCAACTTTAGAGTCTTCATAGATGAACAAAAATGTGGAATAGTGAGCAGCACAAACAACAATACTACAAAAAACAAATCCACCAGAAAACAAAACAATAACGAGAGAGGTTAACAGTGATCTTTAACCTTAACCTGTGTTTGGAGGCTCTGCGCAATACAAAGAAATTGAATAATTATAGAATAATTTACTTATTTCAAATAACGAATTTTTTTTCTCTTTTTTTAATTACGCAATGTGAAATAAATTTGGATCTTAATCCAAACGAAAGAATTGAGATCTTAATGGAACATATGCGTATGTGCAGGCAATGAGGACCACCATCTTTTGCTTTTTTAAGCTCGCCTAAGCACTATATGCTAGGCATTTTAGCAAACATCTTGTGATTAAGCTTCCGGTGGATATGCAGCAAAACATGAAATTCAAAGTCCAGTTCATGTGCATCTAGCAACTAACAAAACTTAGTTTATTACATGAAATTCAAAACCAGTTTATCATATAATTTGCCCATAAAAACCGATTTTAGCGAGTGGTTACATGATTTTGGTGGATTGCACATAAAAACCGAATAAAGAACTCTATATGCCCAACAGAAATTGTCGTCCTGGCAATCTTTCGAACATCTCGTGTGCACAGAATGGGATGAACATGAAGATCGGCTTTCGGGTGACAAAGAGAAAGAGAAAAAAGGGAGATGAGATGTGTCAGAGAGATGATATGATTGAGAGATACCTGGGCAGCTGCTGGCTGTCGTTGGCGGTGGTGTTCAGATGTGTGAGAGAGAATAGATGCGGCTGTTTGGATAGTGCAGATTCACAGAAAAGGGCAGAGATACAGAGAGACGTGAGAGAGAGATTTGACAGAGAGATTTACAAAATAACGATATATATTTCATTGACAATAGAGGAGTACATTTTTATGGAGGGAAGATAACAAGAAAGAAGGAACCTCCTCCTCCTCCTCCAACCATAGAGATTGATAACTACAATTCACAGCAAAATGAGCAAGGCAATTAGAAACTTCATTACCTCGCCCTCTGAATCCAAGAAACTGAGAAAGACTCGAAAGAGGACCCATAAGCCTGAATCTTCTCCACAAAATTTCCTATCTCCGAAAAATCCGACCGAGTCTTCTGAATAGCATCAGTAACTACTTTGGAAGCACCTTCTAAAACAATCCTCCAAAAACCAAGTTCATGGCCAAGACGAACTGCAGTGAAAGTAGCCCAAGCTTCAATGTTATTAGCACTTAGTTGTCCAACCAATTTAAGACTCAAGCCTGCTAAAAAATGTCCTTCATGATTCCGCAGCACCACTCCCACACCTGAGCATCCACAGGAACTAAAGACTGCCCCCATCGAAGTTTATTTTACAAAAATCCACAGGAGGAGCAGACGCTGCAGACCTTTTGATTACTGATGGACGATCAACATGAACACTAACAGCCAAAACTTGATCTTGTATGCGTTGGAATTGTCGAACATAATCCTTAGAAAATTCAACAATTTCAAATGGATCTATCTTTGTAGCACACCACCGCTCTTGATTTGTTCCTATTAAACCAAACAGCCCAAGCAATGACAACCACCAAAACAACCTGTTCAGTTCAGCCAGTAAATGTTCAGAGATATAAACCAACCATTTTTAAACACTTGACAGAGAGCCTTGAGAGAAATGTAAGCCTGCTACTTCCCAAGTAGTAATTGCAAAAGGACACCTTAAAAATAAATGGAAAGAGGACTCATTCGATTCACCACACAAATAACACTCATTAAGAACATGAACTATTTTCCCCTGTAAGTTGCATAAGGTAGGTAGAATATCAATAAACAGCCTCCATGCAAAATTCTCAATCTTGTTGGGTACCTTTAGAGGCCAAATAAACATCTCAGGCCAGTTATCACTCTCCCTGCTAGTAGAACCAGAATGGTGTTGTACACTAACTAAATTTTGTTCAATAGTAAGGTGATAAGCACAACGTACCGAGAAATGATCAGAATTCGTATAATGCCACCATAGAAGATCTTTTGATGATGGTGACGAAGTGCTTCGACATTCCAGCTATAAGTCTCAGGATCAATAAAAAAACTCACTCCCGTATCATCAGGGGCGGAGCCAAGATTTTGCCTCGGGCAACCTAAATTCCTAAATTTCAAAAAATAATTGTAACATTATTTTCATCAAAATATGTATTCTTGATAAACTGTTTATAAGCATAGTTACATCAAAAGAATGTCATTTAGAAGCGCAATTCATGTATATGAATGATGTACAAAAAAATGCAACAAAAAAACTTCACATCAAAAGTATCATTTAATGTTCGAAATCCTATACAAAAGGAGCTCCCAACTTTCGAACATCCAATAAATCTTTATATTTGTTCTCGATGAGTTTTCATATTTTGAAACCGTTGCATAATCATTTCATTTTCAATGATACTTGAAACAACTTTCTTAATATATGCAACCAAGCAATCATTCATCAATTAATCTCCCATTCGCTTGCATAATTGATTTTTTATTATGTTCATTGCTAAAAATGTTTTTTCGACGATTGCAGCGGCAACTGATAAGACAAGTGCTAGTTTGATGAGCAAATATACCAACGGATATACTATATTCTTTTTTGTCTCTATTAACTTCTCTGCAAGTTCACCAATTCCTTTAACTTCTGAAAATTCATTGAAGTGCATATCAAGTATATAAGTCTCAAGTTGATTATCAAATTTCAAGAGCTCCATTGGGGAAAATTCTGAAGGATAAAATTGATCAAGATGAAGTAACTTCTCCTTATTGAATGTAGAGAATGAATCCATTGGATTTAGGCATGTCACACGCAGAAGTAGCTCGGTGTTCACCTCAATAAAACGATCGCTAAGCTCTTGAAATTGCATATCTAACACTGTAGAAAATAATTTAACACGATAACGATATAGATTAGTGACTTTTTCACCACGTTGTGACCTTCCTCGAGCTATGTATATCTCATCCATATTCGGAATAATAATATCATGTTTTCCACAAAAAGAAGAGGCCTCGGTGACTAAAGAATCTCATCCATCATCTCTCATTATTGGTAGACGTTGTTTGAATACTTTAACTAAACTCATAGCATTTACAATATCTTAATCTTTCATTTGTAATTCTTGTGATAGTTTATTTGTAATTCCCAATACACCTTTCACAAAATGTAAATTGAAAACGAAATTGAAAGATTGAACTGAATCCAATAAAGCACATGTTTCACCTCTTTGCTCAAAAGTTGTACCATCCTCTACAATAATCTCAAGCACATCAACAACAGAGGAGAACAAAACAATCACATTTATGAGAGTGTCATAATGTGAGCCCCAACGTGTATCACTGGCCCTTTGAAGACTACTTTCTTGCTGCAAACTACGCCCACTTGATAACTCTCCATTGTTTAGTGCTTGAATAACCTTACTAGCTTGCTTCTCTCTTAAAATAGCTATTTGTTTGCATGAAGCTCCAACAACATTCAATAAATTAGCAACAATATTGAAAAGCAATGCAATTTGATTGTGATTTTTCGCAACAGACACAAGTGTAAGTTGAAGTTGATGAGCAAAACAATGAACATAAAAAGCAGATCCACAATCTTTTATGATGAGACTTTTGAGACCATTGAATTCTCTCATCATATTATTGGCTCCATCATAACCTTGTCCACGTAATCTTGATAGACTTAATCCATACTTTGAGAACAATTATTCAATCGCCACTTTAAGTGATAAAGCATTTGTATCAGTAACATGGACTATGTCAAGAAAACGCTCAGTGATGCATCCCTTTTTATTCACATAGCGTAACAGGACTGTCATTTGCTCTTAAACTGAAATATCACGAGATTTATCTACTAAAATGGAAAATAAATCATCTCCAAGATTATTGATTATTGCGCATATGGTTTTACTTGCAATAACGTGGACAATATCCTTTTGAATGTCTGGTTCTGTCTCTTTGAGATTCTTTGGAGCATTTTTTAAAACAACATTGTTGATGGTTTCATTGTGCTCAGCAATAAATCGTAGAAGTTCAAAAAAATTGCCTTGATTTTTTGAATCCTTAGACCCATTATGACCACGAAAATGCTAACCCTTAACGTAAAAAGAATCGAAAACAATCAATTGCTATAGTTAAACGAACTCGATACTCTTTTTAAACTTGATTTGATTGCTTAGAATAAGCAACTTTAATATATTACTTCTAATTCATTAGATTTTGGCACATTTTCCAATTCTCATTTTGAGCACTATTTGGACCCCCAACATGAATTTGAAATCTTTCTTTTTTCTTCCAGTTACGGAATCCCTCTATAACAAAAGAGTCACCACCCCCTTGCTCTCTCATATCTCTTCTCATTAGATAGCAACATAAGCGACATGTTTTTTAATGTTATACTCCAACCAACTACCAAACTCGTTGAACCAAGATGGACTAAAACGACGACACAACTTGCTGAATTTCATTTGGGAAAACTTATGTTCACAGGGTTGACATGGGCCTTTTTGTAGATATGTTTTCTGAATTTCATCGCGGTCATTAGGATGATAATTCGAAATTCTAATTTTTAGTTCAGGATCCGCATGAAGATTTTTTAAGTTAACCCTTTCACGACTTTGCTTAAAACAATGTCGTATGTCACCACCACGATCATTTTATTTCTTGACTAGGAGGCGGTTGTTCCAATGTTGATTTTCTTATAAGAAACCTATCCATAGCTGATTGAAAAATAAATTTATCTAATTAGATTTAAGTTTAAAAGTTCATCATTAAATTCGTAACAAATGAGATAATGGACCACACATAATTAAAATATAATTCATAAATCCAAAATATAATCCAAATTAGAATTTCAAGAAATTAATTAAAGCAATTTAATCATAGGGGAGAAAAATAACACTAAAAAAGAATTTTAGATAGCCAATCTGAATAGGGATTTCAACAAAAATTCAAAATAGTTGAGTGTTGACCCAAGATGAAACAAAGAAAACCTACATAAGTCCATAAATAATACACTAAACAACCATGAATTCTACAGGAACTAAACTAGTTTTCTAATATAAAAAATCTGATTTTAGATTAGTGCTAATACTACTATAAAAAAATTTGGTTAATGGATTACCTCTCCTTAGCTTCAACATAATCTTCTAGGGTTCTTCAAAGTTTGATTTGCACAACGATTGAATCCAATAGGTTGATTCGTTGATGAATACACCAAATGAACTAACAAAGAAACTAAAGATAAAAAAGAAGAGGGGATGGACTCGAAGTTGGACTGACTGGTGAAGATACGAAGATGACTTACGGGAAGAAAAAAAAAGCAGGCGTGAAAACCGAGGAGGAGCTACCAAAAGTTAACTTTTTAGGGTTTAAAAATTATATTAATATACCCTATACTTTAAGAAAATTTCAGTAGGGGCAAGTTTAAGAAATTCTTAAAATTTTTATAATTACACCTAGGTTCTAATTTTTTTTAAAAAATTCAGTGGAGGCAATTGCCCCCACTGCCCCATACCAAATCCACCCCTACGTGTCATCATCAATATCCAACAATGGACTGATAACTCTAAAAGTATATGATCTATGAGTCCACCTATCAAGCTTGGCTAGATATGAATTAAAGCCACAAGCAAAATAATAACGCAACGAAATAGAACACTGATGGGACATTTTTTAAATACTCCAAGATGAAGACATGTGTCATCGATGTCACTAAATTCTTGTTACTGTGATCACGACATGTACCCATCGGTTCACAAGTCCCTCTCCCTCGAGGTACTGGTCGTTGGGATCAATGACATCCAGTATGTTTACGTACCGACACGTACTCCTCGGTCGGGGGGGATATGGTACATCGGTCCCTATGTGTACCTCATTCTCGGTTCCGAGAAGTACCGTCCAGGATGGCATTCTCTGCTCCCGCAAAGCTATTGATGTACAGGACGCTAGCCTAGGCTAGGTTAGTCATCATGACCTCGTCTTACACAATTGGTGTCAGAAGGCTCAAGAAGGCAGGGAACACAGCCAATGGGGAATGGACGCGTGACATATTGTGTCACATCAGAGACAGAAAGACCGGATGCCCTTGCTGACACACGACTTGGGAAAGCAAGCATTCAATTACACCATTCCCTTGATGAGACAACATTTAATGGGGTAAAGCTCGGAAGTGAAAGGTAATAAATGTCTCTAAGGCTGGACATTTATTACATCCTCCCCGAGAGGAGCTCATTGAACAGTCGGCAGGCCGATGACACAGCCTTGGTTGCTCGGGATCCCGAGCAGTTAAAAGAGAAGACATTCCTCATAGGAAATCATGCACACGTTGTCTGTACCTAATGATCACCTACTGACCACACTGACAACAATCATGAGTTTTTAAGGTATAAATACTTCTCGCAAAAGGCAAGACGGTATGCAACGAAAAACCTTTGCTACAAATTATACTCAGTGTTTTCTTCTTCCTCTCTCTCAAAAAACTGACTTGATCGTCGGAGGGGATTCGCCGAAAAACACTCTGGCGCCCTTCTAACTTGTCTTTCTTTATCCCAGGAACCTTCCTGAGCCTTACTGGATCGTTCCGAAGATCCATGAGGGTCTCCCATTATCGTTCCAGGTTACCATCGGACCTCACAGGCTGTTCCAAACAGCAGAGTTGACCACTCGACTGACTCGCTCGAGTTCACCAAGGGAGAGATCTATTCTCGTGTTTATATTGTGCAAGATCCAGTACGCACAATCTGGCGCCGTCTATGGGAAACGACTAGTTTTCTTAGTTTCTTCTCTATAAAGAATAGTGACCATGGTGAATACTCGACAAAAAGGGAAAGGTCCCCAACAAATAAGTCTCGAATTACAAGCTCCATGTCACCATGGAGGGAGGGATCACACTGATGGGAATAAAAATGTCTCTATTCAGTCAAGAGGGGTTACCCCTCAAACTAGTATGGGCATTAGGTCAGGAGGATCCGCCCCCTTGGCTCGTCAACTGGCGGAGGTGATCGAAGAAAAGTTTGGGGATCGATTACGACAGTTGGAAAAGGACAATGTGAACGTCCTAAGCCAGCTCAACGAATTCACCGCCTCCGGTGAAGGGTCGAGGGACTCATTCCTTTCTCGTGG